TCAACCGGATACTGCCTGGCATATCTGGGTGCTGGCCTACCCCTTCGGTCTCTTTCAACCGGATACGGGGATTATCTCACCCCCTACCACTACCACATAGTCACATAGCATACTAACACACAAAGCATAACAGATAGTGACATACCAGACAATTATCACAAAGACAATCATATCAACTATGATCACCTACTAGTGGGTCGGTATTAGTGCCTTAGACCTACTTCTACTGGAAGGTAACTCACCTCAATGTCGTGAAGTGTCTGAACTGTCCTCGATGTTGGTATCAACTCCTCTCAACTCCTACACATAACAACCTTCCTTAATTACCATCTCATACTCTTAACCCTTTCAAGGGTCAACTCAGGTCAAAGTCAAAGTCAAGGTCAACACCCTGGTCAAAGTCAACATCTGGTTGACTCAACTCGCCGAGTTGGTCCACCAACTCGTCGAGTTCCATAATCCACAAAAATCCTGGAACTTCGCTCCTACTTGTCGAGTATTTCAAGAACTCGTCGAGTTCTCCTTGATACAGAATCGGGACCTTTTTGATTTTGACTCGTCGAGCTCGTCATGAACTCGTCGAGTCCTTCTTTATACAAGTTGAAGCATTTAGTCCTTGACTCGTCGAGTTCTTCCTTGAACTCGTCGAGTTCTTCTTCATATAAGTTGGTACATTGCCTTGAACTCGCCGAGTTCATCCTTGAACTCGTCGAGTTTTTTGATCTTCAAGTCCATATTCACGTCCATCTTGTTGAGTCCTCTTCGAGACTCAACCAGATCGATCAGGAACAGAAAAAGGTAGGGAACCATGACCCGACTCGTCGAGTCCTATGAGCGACTCGCCGAGTCCCCCAAAGTCCAAGTCTACCAAGTCGATTTCAGTCGAGCTTAATGCATCCAGAACATAGATCTGACCTTCTAGGATCGATATAGCACGTAAAGTTACAAACTTTACATGCATGAATGGGTTAACTAGCTCATAAGGACCTAAAATGAATTCTACATGGTGCATGGGACTCCCATGGCCATAAAGTTGGCACCTTTATGCCATGGGAACCCTTAAAGGTTCAAGATCTGAAGTGCAACTCCATGGATGCTCACAATCTCGCATATGGCTTCACTAAGACTTAGAAAAGGTAGAAAATAGCCCTAAATGGAGATCTTAGAAATGAATAGTCAAGGTATCATCTTCATACCTCAAATGAGCTGGAATTGTGCCAAAACCTCTGGATCTACTTGCTTTCTCTTGATCTCCCAACCCTCCTCATTCTTCTCAAGCTTTAAAGACACACAAATGACACAAAAGGCTCAAGAACACTCAATATTCGATTAGGGTTTCGTGAAGAGAGTCTGAGGGTGATGGAGGCTGGAGTGGATACCCTATAAGTTGTTTAAATATGGTGCAAACCCTCAATTTAAGGTTTCATCCAGAAAGGTTCACTCGTCGAGTCGGGGCTTCCGACTCGGCGAGTAGACTTTTCCAACCACGTCCAATCACTCGCACCTACTCGACGAGTTGGGCCTCCAACTCGTCGAGTCCCTGTGTAAATATGCAAAAACTTGTAATAAAAATACGTACCGGGAACTGGGTGTTACACTTAGAGGTTGCATGGAACTTCCATCGCCATAAAGTTGTTACCTTTATGCCATGAGAGTCCCTCTAGACACAAGATCTTAAGTGTTCTTCACTTGGGACGTCTAAATCCCAAGAGTCATATCATTTGGACCAAAAAGCACATAAAGGATGCTAAGATGGAGATCTAATAAACTACTAGTCAAGTTTGAGACTTGATTACCAGAAAGTGACGAAAATAAAGTGAGGTTTCTGGATCTAGCAACTCTTCCTTGCTCCTTCAAGCTTTCCTTCCTTCTTAGCATTTGAAGCACTCACAATAACACTCAAAATGGCTCACAATAGCATTAGGGTTTCGAGATCTAGGGTTTGGACAATGGAGGCTGGAAATGAGGCCAAACCCTAGGTCATAAAGTGTTTAAATAAGGTGCAAAATCCCAGATCTAGGGTTTCCCAAACCCCGTCGAACTCGTCGAGTTGGTCTTCCGCAAACCCGCGTGACAACATTCCTACTCGTCGAGTTCTCACCCTTGAACTCGACGAGTTGCCTTCTTAATTTAAGGTTTTTCTTTCCTTAATTAGCCTTCTGGCTTCTGGGTGTTACACTTGCACAAGTAAGAGATTGAAAGATCTAGTATGCTTAAGAGTCATATTAATGTGGTATTGCTAATTAACTTATGATATTAATGGGTCACACTAACAACAACTTGATATAATTGATTATTTATTAGATATTGATTTTAATAAATATTTAACAAAACTCTTCTAATTAAATTGGAAATTATTTATTTCATGGAAATATTAATTTTCATTAGCAAGTAACATTACATAATTCATACGGTATGAATTAATAAGTCATGCACAACATTTTGGACTAGATAAATTCTTTTGTCTTTTACCAAAAAGTTAAAGTTTATATTTTATAAACTTGGTTTATAAAATATAAAGGGTTTTTTTTTGTTTTCTTCCATTTATTAATTAAGAAGTCAAAAAGTAACAACATGGCTTTCATATTAGTTTATTCAAAATGAAGGGCATGGACTTTTGATTTGTTTATTCAAAAAAGAAGGGCATGGTCTTTTGAATAGTTTATTCAAAAAGAAGGGCATGGTCTTTTGAATAGTTTATTCAAAAGGTAGGGTATTGTGCTAATGCTTTGGGGACAATGGAGGTTGGAAATGAGAGAAACCTTGGGGCATAAGATGCTTAAATAGGGTCCAAACCCTAAATTTTTGGGTTTACAACTAGTTTAAGTACATCCAGCGTACCATATGTACGCCCAGCGTACTAGGGGAAAATGTCGTGTCCAAGGTTCGCCATGGTACGCCCGATGTACCATGCTTACGCCCAGCGTACTCGGCCCCATGAAAAAAGTAAATAGCCACTTAGATTTAAGGAATTTAACTGAAAAACGGACGTTACAATTCTCCCCTACTTGAATCAGACTTCGTCCTCGAAGTCCGCCTCCGAAAAAATTTTTGGGTAGTGCTCTCTCATCTCCTCATCAGGCTCCCATTTCCATTTTGACCCCTTTCGGTGTTGCCACTACACCTTCACTAGACCCGCAACCTTGTTTCACATGGTCTTCATCTTCTTGTCTAGGATCGTAACTGGTCTCTCTATGTAATTCAGGCGCTCATCCACCTAAATATCCTCCAAATGAACCACTAAGGAATCATCAACCAAACACTTCTGCAACTGAGTGACATGGAAAGTGATGTGAATCTGAATGAGCTCCTCGGGTAGCTCCAAGCGATAAGCAACCCTGCCCACCCAGGCAACAACCCTAAAAGGAACGATATACCTGGGCCTAGATTGCCTCGCTTCCTGAACCAGATGACACTTTTCCAAGGTGACACCTTCAGGAGTACCATATCCCCAACCTGAAATTCTAAACCTGAGCGATGTTTATCCACATAACTCTCGCATCTGATCATCCATGGATCCGGCTCCAGAGCCTGAACCCGATCCCTCATAAGAACCTAAACCACCTCGTGTGACAACCATTCTGAAAATAAACAAACAAACCACCTTTTGTGTGTTTTGGTGTGTGTTTGGTGCATCTTAAAGAAGAAGAGCTCATTGGATGAGGATTAGTTTGCTTGGAGCTTGAAGATCCAAAACTCTCTTCACCTTTGCAAGCCTCTAGAGGTATAAAGCTTCAAATTTTATGACTCCTTACCTTAGATCTAGATTTGGGATCATATTTGGTATGTTTAGGTCCCTTGGTTTGGTTCTTGTGAGTAGGGGTTACTCCAGAACTTGTATTGGTCATTTCTTGGTATTTCTGAAGTTGTAGAACCATAAAAATGGCATCTTGATGGGTTAAGCTCAACCATGCATGAGTTGATAGTCTTAATATGAAGTTAGAATGTTAGAAATGCATGTTGAGTCTCTTTGAACCATGCAAAGACATCAAGTTGATGACTTTATCATTTAAGAGATTTTCCAAGAGCTAGATCTTCAAATTGAACATTTGGACTTAAAGCATTACGTGCTTAATGAGGTTTTGGCAATCTGGAGCGTACGCAGGGCATACATAAGCATACGTTGAGTGTACGCATCTGAGCCCCCGTTTTCCCTTTGGTGGTGTAAGTTGTACATTGGGCGTACTTAGGTGGTACTCTTAGCGTACTCACCAGGAACCTTTTTGGGCTTTAAATCTTTTGGGCCATTGTTGGGCCTTAGGTTTTTGGGCCATTGTTGGGCCCTAGGTTTTGAGCCATTATTGGGCCTTAGGTCTCTTGGTCCTTGTTAGGCCTTAGGTATTTTGGGTTTGGGCCATGGGTTGGGGGCCCTTTAAGGGAAGGGTAAAATGGTATTTTTCCCCTAAGCATGTTATATGGTAATCTAGACTTTTTATGGGTTATTACCCTGATTATTCATTAGGGTTAATTTGGAACGTCCAGTGTGAGAGTCCTGGTAGTAGCAGCCCGTAAGTGTGATTTGTCTATCTTCAGACTGAGGTGAGTTTCCTCACTATACTTGTGGGTCAAAGGCACACTACAAAAAATATGTCATTTAGTGGCACACAAAAAGTGCCACTAAAAACCTAAAAAAAAATGTCACTAAAAGCTTCTCAAAGAATGAGTGGAACACATAATAAATGTCATTAGAAACGCTCCCACTAAAACCTTTTAGTGACACTTTTTGTTTTTGCTGCTGCAACTTTTTAGGCTTTTAGTGGCATTTTTTTATTTGTCACAATAAAAGAAAAGTTTTTTGTGGCACATATTTTATGCCATTGAATGCTCATTTGATTCAAAAAATCATGTTATTTTTAGTTACACATTTTAAGATTTTAATGGTATTTTATATTTGCCACAATAAAAAAAATAAAAAATAAAATCGTGGAACATTTTGCATGGGTATATACTCATAAGATTCTATATTTTATAATACATTAAATAATTAAATTACAGCACACAAAAAGTAATAAAAATTTCATACATGAGACAAAATAAACAACATTTTCTTTTTCATCCAATGGAATGAAACATTACATTCCTTACACGATTAATCATAACAAACAGGCGCTACCTAGGAAAAAATTAAATGTTTTTCTAACCTTGCAAAGATATTCAATAATCTTTTGTTTGACTTTGACTAGTATATCTTCTACAACTATAAGTTCAATTCAACTTCTTCGATTGTTGTCTCTTCTTGTCTACCATGGCATATCAGCAAGAAGCTCAAGGTAAACACATGAGCTACTATACCATGAGCTTGCATATTTTTCACTTTCCTGATAAAAAAACATTTTAAACAAAAGTTTAAAAAATTATATCTAAAAACTAAGATACAGTTATTTTTCAGTTAAAAAGTTCATCCCTCATACTCATGGACCAAAAAGTGTATTTTAACTGTTAATAAAAACACACCTTAATTCCTTATGAGCATGTTTCCAAATATTTTGAGGCATTCCAGCATCTTGCATCTTTCTTTCAAATGCAGCCACTTCATCATTATCTCTAAGTTCTTCTCTAATAGCACTCATTTGGCTTACCTTCAAGAAAGTTTATATAAAAAAGAAACAAAATTTAAAACATACCTGCCGCCATAAAAGACATTCCTTCTACCTTTTGTGTAATTTTTTTGCCACATAAATAGACTTGCACAATTAATAATTTAATCAAAATTACTATAAATTGCAAAGTTTCTAAAACAATAAACAATAAAAAAGTTATATGTTTTTACATGTAATGTCTATTAACTAATTATGTGGCTTTTGAAAAGATAATGGCATAATAAAACATACTATGAAAACGAGAAATTGAGGGGCACAAGAGAGTTTTTCTAAAACTTGGTCAAACATTTTTTCCGTACGTATTACATGGCCATATTTTCGATTTTGTGGTTCTTCTTCCAATTGTGAAAATGGGTGATCAATATCTATTAATCAAAATATCAAAATCAAGTCTAAGTCGAAACACTTGCTAAAAAAAGTAAACATATGTTTAAATTTGACTTATGATTCCTTTATTTCTTCCATAATTTAAGAGCTCCCACAAAAGATAACTTGCATCACACTTGCCAGAAAAATTAACAAATACCCATTTCTCGATTTTAATGGCAGTGAAAAGCTTCTACAAGAGAAAAGAATTAAAACATACATAAAGCAAAAAACAGATACTAGCAATTTACAAAAATGTCCTGTCACACAAACCTTGTTATTAAACTAAAAAAATGAATAAGAAAAATATTACACACACCTTTGGTGCCTCGAGGACATGACAATCAACTTGAGCAAGTTGTTTTGCAATAGCAATTCCACATGAAGCGAGTGAAGGGTCAACATCATAAATATAGCTTTTCATAGCCTGGTAGGTTAAATAAATGTTAAATTTATGATAAAGGACACAAAGATAAGTAGTATCAAAAGGCTATTATGGTAATATACCTCTACATCGGTTATAACTCACATTTTTCAGGAGACTCGTTTCTTGATTTTTTCAACTAAAGATGTTCTTTGCAGCGTAGATAATGCACTCTTACAAGTAGTAAGTCATGGTCGGTGGGAGGTTTCCATTGGTCGGGACCAAGCATATGCACAAACAGAAGCAGGGGTAGATAGGTCAATTTGAACATCTGAAGTGGCTTCATCTCAATACACCAAATATTGCATACTGAGTTGGTGGTATTCAATTAATTCTCTCAAATGCATGTTCTCATGTGCGTATACTGAATTCTCATGTGCCAAACGCCCTTTTTCTTCTAATAACATCTCCAGCCAGATCTGTATCTAAAAAAATAAGCCAATTAACTTCTTTGAAAAATTGTTACTAATTAAACTAAAACTTAAAAGACATACATACCATGTCATCATCATCATGTGCAGGGTGGTCGCCCTTTTCCATTTCATTAACCTCTCGGGGAATTTTATTTTCTTCTTCCAGCTCACAACATTTTTTTTTTGCAGAATCCAAATCCTCCTTCACTCTTTTCAGCTCCCGAGAAGAACTTTTTCTTTGGCTGCTGTTGCAATTGCCACCTGTCACCCAACTCAACAAACAAATACCATCATACATCAGTCAGTACATACATCCACGTTCCACCTTACATTGCGAGAAACCTTCATTTGAATTTATGGATCCATCCCCTCTTTCTCTTCTTCATTACCCTTTGTCCTGCTTCTTCTGTTCTGCATGATCATATCTTCACTTTTCATGTCTCTCATGGTTTTTCCTTCCTAGATGTACCAACACAAAGTTACTTTGATATTTAAAAAGACAAACCATAATAACTTATATATTAAAAATAGAGATTCGCAACTTCAATCCCCAAAGAAATTATGATGCATTTAGGTTGATCTCAAGCAAGTTCAGTTCAATGGAATTATTTGAACTTTAAGGGGATTTTCTTTAATTTCACATGTCAAAACTCAGAAATATGAATTCTTTTAATATTGTACGTTTTTAGTTCATGTGGACAAATTCTCAACTTGAAATTGGCCAAAGGTTATTACTTGTTAATACTTTCTGTAAACTTTGATAACTTTATTAACTTAATTCTCAATACCACCAGAAACCTGGATTTGATTTTATAGCATATAACTGCAACAAATAGTAATGTACTTTTCTTAAAAAATACTTTTACTAAAGCCACTATAAATTTCAAATAATTTTCTTCCAAAATCTTAACTGAATAACTGTAATATGATTTTGTTTCAGAAATTTGAATTATTTATATAATAGTTTTCAAAAGTTGGATGGTTTTTAGTTACCATTTTTAAGTCAAGTTATCAAGTTAGAATAGAAGCAAATGTGCATTGTTATTCATTGAAATTTTAGTGTGAGCATAAACAAATAAAAAATTATTCTATATCTGTTTGTATGTGTGTGTGAAAGCAATTTGAAATCCAATAAGAAAAAATGATATGCCGAACTATTCAAAATGGAAAGTGGATCACAAATGCCATAGAATTCTTCAACATTTGAGAAAAAAAATGAAAAAAAAATATATTTAGAAACTAGCAAGTGAAAATCGGAAGATTTTGGGGGTTAAAACTAGGGTTAGGGTTACAAATTGAATTACCATGAGTTAAAGCACGAATTACCATGCCATGACGACGACTGTAATATTTAAAGATCTCTTCTACTGTACGAGGACTCGAAGAAATTGAAGCCATTTCTGTATGAAATAGAAGAAAAGTAAGGATATATCAATAAAGTAATTTCAATTTAAAGTGCAGAATATTGATCATACACCCTGTGTTTTTGTGCAGGGATAGAGTAAGGCAATATTCCCTATTTTTGGCAGTCGACGAGATAAAAAGGCAAAACACACAAGTAGGAATGACCGAATTACCATAGGGATTGGGGAAAAAACGAAAACGAAGTCGAAGACCTGTTTTTTAATTATATAATTATAAATATATACAAATACAAATACAGAGTTAAGAGGAAATTAGGGAAAATCAATGGAGACATAGTAGTGTACATGACCTGGTAGTACCACCGTCGAGGACCAGAACGTCAATCCACTGATCGGAGGAGAAGGAAAGGCTTTCAGATCATGAAAAATACCGGAGAATTAGCAACTCATTTGTGAAGTGTGTGTTTATTCTTTGCAGTTTAGTTGATTGAGTGCCATTTGTTTAAATTGGGGAGAATATGTGACGGGTAGGGTTAATGGTGATGGTGGAGAAGGTGGTGAGGCCATTGTATATGGTGGAGAAGGTGGTTGGTGGCATAGAAAAATGTGAAACGGTGGTGATCAATGAGTTTTTTTACAGAGAGAGAGAGAGAGAGAGAGAGAGAGGAATGGAACTTGAAAGCGAGGTTATGTTTAAGTAGATTCAGTAGGAGAGGTATGTAACTTGAAAGCGTGGTTGTGTTTAAGTAGATTCAGTAGGAACGGTCCATAAAATCGATTCTAAGAAAAGGTGGAAAGAGGGAAGATACGAGAGTTAATTATTTTTTCCTTTAACGGCACATGGATAGTGCCACTAAAAACGTGAATTAGTGGTATAAAAATTAAGTGCCACAAAAATGTGTGCCACTAAATGGCTTTTTATTTGTAGTGGCACCAATGCCGATCCATTGGATTATGTAGTAGGATAGTAATGATCTCTGTGACACTTATTGGTATGTATGTATAAGCTTGATGTCTTTTGTGACTTTTGCGAGTATGATTGTATGCTTAGCTGTAGGGGTGAAATAGACATGTACCAGTTGGAAGATACCAAAGGAGTCGAAAGGGACTCAGGGAGTCGGAAGGGACTTAGGGGTGGAATAGACTCGTACTTGCTTTAGCATGATATACATGTATTATGTGTGTATGATATGTGTGATATGTGGTATTTGGGGAACTCACTAAGCTTTGTGCTTACGGTTTAAGTTTATGTTTCAAGTACTTCCAATTCGAAAGTGAAGGATCCCGCTTGATCATAGTGCATCCACCCATGTTTTTCGTACTTTTATGATTTTGGGAATTGCACTTTGATAACTATTTTACTATCACATACCTTTGGATTTTTTTATATGAATATTTGATGGTTTAGGTTGAATTAAAAATAAAATTTTCACCTATGATTTTTGGGACATTAAATTAAAAATTGAAGGGTGAATATAACATTTTACAAAGTTCAAAGTGAAGGATGAAAATGAAAATATAAAAAGTAAAGGGTTAGAAAAGCCACAAACTCGTAAACTTAAAATATATAAAAAAAAGTACATAAATGCTCCTTATGGTTTATCCGTTGTCACAAACTCAGTCTCTGCTACCTAAAAAACCAAATTAATCTCACAGTAACGGACTAAAACAAACGTTGTTAGCAAAAAGGACCATTAATGCAAGTTTTAAAAACCATAGGGACCATGTTTGTAAACAAAAGTTAACAATGACTGAGTTTGTGACTTTTGGTAAACTACAAAGACAATTTATGTAATTTGTCTTAATTTTTTTTTCTTTCAAATTTTCATGGTTATGCTCATTTTGTAAACAATTAAATTTTAAGAACTTTAGTTTTTTTAAATTTATTTCTCTAAGAAAAAAAAAGTTATAGCTGAAAATATGAAGTAGGTCAAAAGAACATGGGTTGGGCGATACATGGTAGATTTCATGATAAATAAAATCAAATCTTTACTTTTTTTTCAATCTTACACCAAAGAATTGTACACACAGTCTTCACCAATATGTTAGCTCTCTCTCTCTCTCAATATATATATATATATATATATATATATATATATATATATATATATATATATATAGAGAGAGAGAGAGAGAGAGCTAGGTTCAGGTATTTAAAGTAATTATTGTGTTATTGTATGCATAAATGTGGGTCAATCAAAATTTAAAATAAAAATAAATAATTAAATAAATAAATAAGGGTAAATAGGTAATTTGATAATTGGTTTCCACAAATAATATCCTATAATTATGGTAACCATTGACTTCAGCTACCTAGGGTTTCTCTATTCATTGGCTTTTTAAAACCACCATCTACCTAGGTCCGCCAAGTGCTGAAGCAAGAAGCGGGAAGGTGTATCAATTGCCTGTCACCGGCTGATCTTGTCAACACCAAAATCACGTCCCTTCTCTTCCAGCCGTCATTGACTCTTCCAGCCGTCATTGACTCATTCCCTCCATAATCAATAGCAAGCAGCGACCAGCAAGGCAACAACCACCGTTTGGCCCGTCGCATATTCGCATGTACAGGTCAAAATCGACGAGAATAGGATTGCCTTCCTTCACCTCTTGCAAAATTGATCGACATGAGCCAAGGAAATAAGAAAAAAACTGCAGCTCTCCTTGTGTGCCTTCCTCGGTTCTTCATGTTCTTGTTTCAACAATCACGTCCCTAAAAATCGATATGGCTCTTGTTCTGTCTCCACCTTTTATCGACGCCACACATACAAGAATAAATCGCAGGTTTCAATATTAAACTCGAAATTAGATCTCTTCTCTTCTTTAATCGATCACACCCTTCTTTCTTTTCTTGCTTTCTTGAAACCGATCACAGGTTCCTGTTGATCTAGAGTGAAATAACAAGCCACTAGTTGACTCTTCACCCTTCAAATGCACTGTTGAAAACTGATTTTCTTATTTTCTGATTTCTTATTGATCTATCCCAAACGAAATCCCCAATAAAAATGTACGAAATTAGGAATCTTTTGTTGGATGATTCAAAAATACAGTCTTGAATGATGACATTAAACGAAACATGTGCAAAATTGCTTACATTTACAAGCTCCAAGGCATAGATTAACGATAATCTGATAGAAACGAATGTAAGGTACAATGGTTTTCTGATAGACTTGATATGTTTAGGTTTATTGAGAATTTGTTCTGATTGTCTAATTTTTACAGGAAATTGTAACTTGTTTTGATGCACACCAAGCGCTCGCTAAAATGCTTCAACTGAATGGTATTTCTTTGTTTATAGTATTCTATCATAAAAGAATGTTTTTTTATGATAATCATGAACATATTCTGTTAGAATGCCCCGAATTAATATAATTATTGGTAAATGAATTCCAATTCTATCAGAATGGAATCACGAATTCCAATTATGCTGGAATGGAATATGGATATTTTCTCACTAATTTATTCATTGGATTTGTTTCCACAAAAGCTGATGCTTGAAGAACGGACCACGAAATTTGAACGACGCCTCTTAACAACATTATTCTTTTAGAATAAATTAGTGTATTTGTTAGATTTTGATGTTTTTTTCCCGAATTGAAAGTTTTTTAGTTTTATTCTTTAACAATAAATGTAATTCTTAGCAATTGTTACATGTATTCTATAAGAATTAATATAATTTTTGTTTTAATTCTTCAATTACTGGTTCGAGAATTTGTTATTCTACAAGAAATATGTTCAAGAATATTTTTATTATTTTATGGTTCTAGAATATTTTTATTTTTGAACATACTCAAACATATTTTGTCAGAATGTCCGAATTAAAAATCTTATAATTTGTAAAATCGGATTTTTAAAATTAATAGAATCAATGATCCCTTAAAATATGCAAATTTCCTTTATTAAATCTATATTAATTGACCAAAATACCCTTCTAGTTAAATTAGACGGTATTTTTCGATTATTTTTAATTCAATAATATGTATTAATCACCTTTTTAAAATAAGTAAAATTATTGGTCCATATTTATGCATACAATAACACAATAATTACTTTGAATACAATAACCTAAACTTTTATATATATATATATATATATATATATATATATATATATATATATATATATATATATATATATATATATATATATATATATGGTAAAATCGTATTTTACATAGACTAAACCACAAGATTTGAAAACCATTAGTTAACTTTTTAAAAAGTAAAACTTGATATTTGACCAAAACATATGGCACATTTCTGTAATATACTCTAGATATATTAAAGAAAAAGGTAAGTAGGATGGATGAAAAAAAGTAAAAAAAAAATAATATGTCAAGACCAGAAATACACTTCCTCTTTGGAATCTTTTGCTTCAAAGGCTATTTTTCTTCATCTGTATGCGTAGAATCTTATTTTTGACTCTTATTTTGTATGTATAACTTCAAGGTTGTATATTTTTGTTAACTAGAAGTTGTACCATGTACTATTCATTCTCAGCTGATAAACTAAATGCCGTAAGAAGAAATCTCGAAATTGAAATCAATAATCAAACGGTTAAGGCAAAAAGAATTCACCACCACAACTAAAGGTCAATTTCAGAAAATGTATAGAAAGCGTGGCCGGCCGTCCAGCCTACTTGAAAAATGTATATTATTTTATAATTCCAAACGTTTAGAAAAGATTAAATTAAAGCTTATATGTTTGTGTGTATGGTCAAAGCAAATCGTCTGAAATAAAAAGTTTTGAAGTGACGCCAAAAATAAAATACTGTCACCTGTCCATTCCGTTCAAAATCGGGTGGCTTCTAATGTAGAGAGAGATGCTGACTATGGGTTGATCCTTGTTTTCTCTTGCAGGCATAACTAGTCGTCTAAAGGCTGCTGCTACTACTACTAACCATTTAGCTGTATCCAGTTATACATATATATAAGTTCTAACCGATTGTTTATCAGATTCCAAGCGTGGATAATTCTTGTAAGACCTGAGCTACGATGAAGTTTATGAGTAGTTTCCAGTGCTTGATGGGAGGAAACGCGGTGCAATTTCAAGCCTCCTCCTCCGTATCACCCACCAACCAGTCATCCCTTCCATTATTAGATAATGAAAATAGAAGGAATTCCAATATGACCAAGAAGAAGAAGAAGAAAAAGAAGAAGGATAGGAAAGTAATCAAGGTTTTCAAACCAGACGGGGAGATTAATCTCTACCACAAGCCCATCAGGGTTTCGGAGGTGATGACAGAGGAGTACATGGTTTGCAGATCAGATTCCTTCTACATAGGACAAAAGATTCCGCCCCTCTCCCAACACGAACGCCTCCAGCCCGGCCACACCTATTTTCTACTCCCAACTCATCTCTTCCACTCAGTTCTTTCCTTTGTCACTATTGCCTCCTTTACAGCTTCTTCTAAACAAGACAGGGAAGATAGTAATGGCAACATGAAGATGAAGGCTGCATTTCTGAAGAAGGCAGCAGCAAGTTCATGCTCTCCATTTGATATACAAAAAACGTCATCTGGGACTCTCAGGATTCGTGTTTCAGAGCTATTCATATCCCAGCTGATGATGGATCAAGCTGCTACTGCTGCTACTGGTAATCATCATCGTGGTAAGGAATTGATAGATCTGAAAGAGGCTGCTGATTTACTGTGCACGACTCCACAATTGCATAGAGAGTACAAGCAACTGGTAGTCGGATCTCGAAGAGGTTGGAAACCAAAGCTGGAGATGATCAAAGAGACTCCTTCCAAAGGCAAGAGGAAGGTCAAAATGTTATTCTCCGCGTCCATCAGTCGTATGAAGAAAAAAATCAAAAACAATAAGAATGTTGGCTTCCCTCAAATATCATCCTCCTCGGCTTCTTCTCAGTCACAGTCATCACTGAAGAAGAAAAAGAAGAAGACCAAAAAGATTGTCCAACCTCCCGTCTCTCTTCCTCCCAGTCCCGCTTATGCTTCTACAATTTCAAGGACCAAATAACAAGTCCAGTTGATATCATCTGATGATGAAAATACATAGAAAGCAGCAGGTCTTAGCTACCTCAACATTTTTCAACTTTTTTTTTTTTATTTTTTTTATTTCTCTTTAGTAGTTCTGGAATTATGTACATGTGTTTTTACTAGTAAACAAGTTAGTTATGGCTAAATTCAGAAGATGGTAATCAGATTAGATGGATTATTGTTAGCGGATCATATTATATTGTAATATTATTGTGTATTTCTAGATTCGCCCATTGTTGTAAGCCTTGTGTATTGGCCCAAATGGGTTTGGATTATTGTACGTGTATTTTGTCCCAGTTTTTATTTGAATAAACACACCAGAAGCATTTGCCTCAATACTTTGTTTTTCTTTTTGTTACATTGTTTCTTTTAGAACGGTTTGTGAAAAACTGATCAAATACCAACATTGTGGTATCAAAGCTAATACTGGTGCATGCCCAAGTATCAACCTCGTGAAGAGATGACACGAAACAATGGCAATGGTGACAAAGAAGGTCAAATAACTCTCCACTATCCAATTTTATCAAGAACAAACTATGGAGCATGGGCAATCAAGATGCATGTCTTCATGCAGGCTCATGGTGTATGGGATGCAGTAGAACCCATAACTTCAAATATAGTTGTGGACACCAAGAAAGATAAAATGGCACTAGCAGTTATTTACCAGGGATACCAGAAGATCTTTTGATGTCACTAGCTGAAAAGAGAACAGCCAAAGAGACATGGGAGGCTCTAAAGACAAGATTTGTAGGGGCTGACAGAGTAAAAACGGCAAGAATACAAACTCTAAAGGTTGAGTTTGAGTCACTCACCATGAAAGAGTCGGAAGGAGTGGATGAATTTGCGGTGAAAGTAGATAACATCGTTAGTTCAATGCGCACTCTAGGTGATACAGTAGATGAAGCCTATGTGGTGAAGAAGCTGCTTAGGGCAGTATCAACCAAATTCCTGCAATTAGCCTCAACCCTAGAACAATTTGGAAATCTAGATGAAATGACTGTAGAAGAAGTAGTTGGCAGATTAAAAGCACATGAAGAAAGGATTAAAGGGCATACCGAAAGTGATGATCAAAAGCTTCTCTTGACACATCAAGAGTGGTCAGAGAGAAACAAGAAGAAAGGAGATAGTGACTCTAAATCCAATTCGCATAGAGGAGGTTTTGGAGGCTCACGGGGACGAGGCAGAGGCAGGGGTAGACATGGTGGAGGACGTGGTCGTGGCAGAAGTGGGTCAAATCACCAAAAGGAAGGAAGTCATGGGGCCTCTAGCAATCAAGACAAAAGCACAGTGCAGTGCGATAATTGCCAGGAATATGGCCATTATGCAGCTGAGTGCAAGAACCCAAAAAAGGAGAGAAGCCACGAGAACAACCTGATACGAGAAGACTCTGAACCTGCACTACTGTTGATGTCCCTGGAAAGTGAAGAAGAAATAGGTGAAGTGTTTCTAAATGAGGAGAAAGTGCATCCAACATTGAAGACAAAAGGTGGAGAGACAAACCAGTCAAGGCTATGGTATCTTGATACAGGGGCAAGCAATCACATGACTGGTGATGATAAGAAGTTCCACAATCTGAACAAAGAAATACAAGTGTATGTCAAATTCGGAAATGAATCCAAAGTAAGAATTGAAGGAAAGGGGTCAATCGATTTCCAATGCAAAAATGGTGAAATAAGAAGATTAGAAGAGGTGTATTACATACCTGACTTGTGCATTAACAGTATCAGTCTCGGTCAGTGTGACATCCCCATTTTCTCAGCCAGAAAAGACCGATTTTGTTTATGCTTTATAAAAATCAAAGTACCTCTTTTAATAAAAATGTTGCGGAATTTGTTCCCAGAAAAAAAAACATGATAAATACGTTATCAAAGCATTTCCGAAGAAATGTATTTTTATCCATTTTAAAACATTTGGGATGTCATCGTCAATACAGAAACATAAGCATAAACAGAACTTACATTCATTTACACTAGTGATCTACATCTCTTTTAAATCTCTCAATGTAAAGTAGTTTCATATCGACACATGTGATACAAATAAGCTTGAGTGGGTCAGGTTGGGAAACCTGGTGAGTACATAGGGTTTTCAACCCACTATAATATAATTATTATGTTCAACATCAAACAATCAACCCAATTACCCATCCCCATTATCTTCTTTACTCTTAAGGATCTTCCCTAAGATTCAGCTATTCCTCGTTCATTCATTCCTAAGGAGTATCCTAAGGAATCAGCACTAAGTCTGCATAGTCGCCAGGGTTTATCTCGTTTATTGACAGTATCGTTTTCGAGAGTCCACTCGCAATACATGTCAATGGGTTTTTTTTAGATTACACCGGGTGAACACATCGTTCACAACACCTACAGGTTGCGAGCCTGCTAGTGTTCCACTAGATTGTCTAGAATAGTCCGTGGTTGTCATCCATACTCTGCTAGATGACGGGGCCATCGCTTGGGTCATCGTTTGGCTCATCGTTTTGGCTCATCGCTTAGGTCATCACTTAGGTCATCACTTCGCACCATATTTTATCACTCATATATCATCGCTCATCATTCATCTCATCTTTCATCGCTCATCATTTATCTCATCTTTTATCGCTCATCATTTATCTCACCTCTAATCTACCCATGTTTTACCCAACATATTTTGTAGATATAAAATACATATACAGTTTAGATCATTTAAAACATGTATAAAACGTTTCATCCAACATAGACAGCAAGTATTCAGACAGTATACACACATAGCACGTAATTTATATAAAATACTTCATATCTATGTGTAAGATGAAAGTAACTATGCACTCACCTGTAAAGGTGGTGACTCGGAACTCGGACAGCACTTCGTTACTCTTAAAACAATTTTCCTTTGACAAAACCTAGTATCATTACCACTAGAATTTAGTCTAATGTTCAACGAGACTAATTAATAGTCTTGCTATTATTACTATTATATAAGCGTTAAAACAATACTCTTCACCCACTATGTACAGACAGGGGCCAGACATGAAACACCGGAGGGCAGGATCATTTTGGCATATAGCACTTCTGAAATCCAACAACCCAGGCGGCCTTTCAAACCGGATTGCCCGTACCACAAGTGGTTAAAAAGATACTATAACGACACTTATATAACCCATAATAATAGCTCAAATAATTATTATAAGGTCCTAATAACGTTACTATATTTACATAAAAGCTATATTAAAAATTAGGTAGGCGTATCTTACCTACGAGGGGGTTTGGCTAGAAGTCAGGCTCTACAGGGGCAGGACTTCCGAGCCGAAAGCTCTTCTTCTCGGAGCCGTCGAGCGCTCTGGGGCTTTCTTCTAGCGCTAGGGGAGTTTTTGGAAGGTTTAGAGAGAGTGTAGAGAGAAGAAAGAATGGGAAACGTGTGAAGAAAATGAGGGTGGGAGAGGTTCTATTTATAGGGTGAAATATGGCTGAACTTGGTGCCACATATCACCATCTGGTGGCAAGACTTGGGAAGAAAGCAATGGCCAAGATTGTGCCACATCACCCATTTTCGCACAACACACTTCCGACTTCTAAAATCCGTAACTTTCGCATACGAGCTCTGTTTATGACTTTCTTTATATCCACGCGTAGGTAAAAATAAGATCTACAACTTTCCTTTTGACTCCGTCGGCTAATTCTCGACCGATCATAAATTTAACAGTAGAATGTGACTACACTGTTAAATGTCCGCGTAAAATTCATAACTTCTACATACGGACTTTGTTTTCGTCTGTCTTTTTTTCGTTGAGTTCCTATTAATGAGATCTTCAATTATCATTTAGGTCGCATTGGCCAAAAATCGTTCGATCTAAAATTCGAGTTTCGGGTCGTGCACTGCTAGGCCAAATCTTAGAAAAATCATAACTTCCTCATACGAAGTCAGATTTGGGCGTTCTTTTTATGCACGCTCTCGGTTTAACGTATACTACAACTTTTGTTTAGATCACTAAGGCCAAAAAGTCCTCTATCGTAAATTCACTATTTACGTCACGTAGTGTCATGTCGGTTTTGTCGCGAAACTTCGACGAGCCATAACTTCTTCGTTATAACTCGGATTTCGGCATTCTTGATATGTAGGAACCCTTGTGACATATTCTACAACTTGGTTAAGATTACTCCTTCTAAATAATCTTCCATCAAAAACTCATTTTTGATGGTCATTGTCTCTAAATTGACTAGCCCGGATCTACAGGCGTTACAGTCAGCTATCAGAAAGAGGAGATGAGATCAAGATAAAAGAACCATTCCTTTGGATTCATGACAGCACAGGGAGGCTGCTGATGAAGGTACAAAAATCCCAAAATTGTCTCTATAAAATTCAACTTGAAGAAGTCAATTCAAGATGTTTAATTGCTGAAATAAAAGACCCTACATGGCTATGGCACACAAGGTTAGGAAATGTAAATTTCACCTCATTAAAACTGATGGTTGATAGAGGTTTGATTGAGGGAATTCCGAAGATGGTGATTCCATCTAAACCTTGTGAAGGATGTCTTATGGGGAAGCAAACCAGACATCCATTCCCTTCGTGTACAAGCTTCAGGGCAAAGAGAAGATTGGAACTCGTACATGGTGATCTGTGTGGTCCAGTCTCACCACCAACACCAGTCGGGAACAGGTACTTCCTGCTACTGGTGGATGATTACAGCAGGGTAATGTGGGTGTACCTGCTAAAAACAAAATATGAGGCATTTCAGGCTTTCAATAATTTTAGAACAAAAGTTGAAGTGGAAACTGGAGAAAAATTAAAGATGTTTAGAACAGATCGGGGAGGAGAGTTTCTCTCAAACCAATTCACCATGTATTGTGATGGAACTGGGCTCAATCGTGATTACACCTCACCCTACTCCCCACAACAGAATGGGGTTGTAGAGAGGAGGAATCGAACAGTTTGGGAGATTGTTAGAAGCTGCTTAAAGACAATGAAAGTACTTGATGTATTGTGGGGAGAAGCAGTAAGCCA